AGTCGTTGTCCAGTGAATTACTTCTCACCAACCACAAATTCGTCGCTAACCGCAGTTGGTGAAAGCACTGCGTTACATAATTCCAAGTCACTGCTTCTATTAACAACACCGACAGTGCTTCTATTATCGCTGCTATTAACATAGTGTTGCATGCTACTATCACTGTCACTCTTATGAATACTTCCAGCACAGCTCTTGACACATTAAGTTAGTGTCCTCGGCCATATTTCTTCTCTTACAACAATACTGTCAGCATTAATATTCCGATGGTGCTGAGAGCTTTACCTACGGCTATGATGATCTGGGCCTTATGCTACAAAAAGGGAGCAAAGGAATGTTGATATTAAACACTTTAAATAACGTCTGTTTGGAAGTCAGAGCGTGTAAATAATAAAATATTTACGTAGAAGAGTAAAGCCAAAATGTTGCGTTGTCTAGTCCCACAGAGTACGGTTGGCTACGCGAGCACATTTAAATATACATTCAAAGTTCCGTAATGGAGATGCGAACGGCATAGAATTTTAATCAGTTCGACTAACAAATAATAAAACAAGCTGTGTTATGAATAATTCGTTATACGGGATTACCGAAAGAACTGAAAGCGGAACTGTTTCGGAGTGAGCACGTTAGAGAGCAAGTATTGCATATTGCGTGCCTCCCCGACACTGGTTCACATTGCTCTTTAGGAACAACTGTATTTAATCTTACGTTACCTAACGACTACATTTCAATTTAAAAGTTTCTTACAGGCCATGCAGCGGGGAATTTTATGAGAATAGGAAAGAATTTGAAAGAAGTGGCCGTTGATAGCTATGAAGCATTCATCCAATAGTATCAAGAGATATTAAAGAAACCAAGTGAAAACTAGACTAGTATAGAAGAAATCAGTATTCTTGGATGTGGCGCCATGTAGATATTTTGTTAACCGACTTTTCGGAGGAACGCATTGCCTCCATCTTCAGGATGCTGTTATCATCTGTTCACTCTGGTTCCTCGCTCGCGGATTTTCTAATTTTTTCTTCTACCCTGAAGATTGAGGCGATACGTTACTCCGAAACGTTGGTTAACACAATACCTACACGGCGCCAAATCCCAGAAGGCTGCTTTCCTCATAGTCAGCGCCGTGAAAACCTCAAATCTTACACAGACTAGTATAGTCGGAACTGTGCCGAGATTCGAGACCAGTTCCCTCGAATTCTGTTCCATATACTTCGTAAGATCGACGGGGAGAATGTAAGTTGCAAGATAATGCGTTATGCCGCCATGAGGTTGGGAAAAGCAGGTGTAATTAAATGTGAGGAAATATTAAAAGAAACAAGACTTGGGAGGGGGTACTAAAGGGAGCGAGAAGTGGAGGAATGAGGTAGGAAGTGAGGGGGGGGGGAAAGGCGTGTAGCTAGATTTTCTGTAATAAGAAATTTCGTGAGGTTTATGAGAAAACGAAGGGTAGCGAGGATTCAGAGAATGAGGAACATAACGAAATTTAGAGGGGGAAATTTTATGAGATTCGGAGGAACAAGGAAGACCAAATAAATTCCAAAACTAAGGAAGACAGTGAGATTCTGTGCAGGTTTTGGAGACTTAGAAGGTTAGGGAAAGTGGAAAGATTTTAATATTTCATGTCGATGGAGATTAAGGTTTCGATCTTTTGGTCTGCAACAACATGGAGTCTACCAATTCGTTACGAAATTTTCTGAAAAAGTTACTGCATGAACTTACGCATCACTTCTACCTAATAGTTTGGAACAGCCTACATGAACATTTTGTGCAGTAATCCAGTGAATCAAGCTCTGAAAAATGTAGGCAGTGTCCTCTACCGTATAACAGAGTTGCTAAAAACTACAGGATACTCATGTGATTATAATAGAATTTATTTAATATTTTTCTGTGTTCTAGTTTGTTGGCCATACTGTCATTGCATGTTTCTTGCACTGATGTTAGCATTGTAGTTATTTGTACAGACGTTTCGGAGGAACCTGTTGCCTCTATACTTAGCTCTACTATCCTAAAAGTAGAGGAAGCTTATACTTCCGAAAAGCTAACACACAATCATCAAACTTCACGACGTCACATCTTAAAGGACCGTAATTCTATTCGGAGCCGTAATAACTGCAGATCTCAGGGAATAACATTTATTTCAGTTATATAACACATTTGAGTACAACACTCCATCTGAATACTGCAACAGAAGGAACATGTTTTAAAGAGAGGCAGTGTTAGAATATATGCCAGTATTCCTACGTAGAAAGTTGTAAGTAGGTCTGTACAATAACTTTGTGTAAAAATTGGTGATTCTGTGTAAAATACAAGTATTTATATATTGAAGAATTATATCTTCTGCTATATAATGTACTGTAGTCCGTTGAAAATCAACCGACGTTTCGAAAAAAAACATGTCACCTTCTTCTTTAGGGTCGAAGAATAAACTAAGCAAGAAAGCAGCATGGAGCAAGCAGCAAACAGAACAGGATAACGGAGGCCAAATGTTCCTCCGAAACGTCGGTTGACCTTTCACAGACTACACGGCCCTATATTACAGAAGACAAAACTCTTCACGACCACCGCTGTGAGAACCTCAAATCCCACAAGCATATTTGTTGTAAAGGGATATTTTCAATTAAAATGTTACTGGCAATTATAATTGTTATTATTATTACAGTAGTAGTAGTAATAGTAGCAGTATTCTTCACAAAATATTATTAGGATGATGAAATCAATGCTGAGATGGGAAGGACGTGTAGCATGCAAAGAGGGATGAAAAATTTATACCGAATAGAATTTTAGTAGTAAACCTGAAATTAAAAACAATTTGCGCAATTTAGACTTAAATTTGAGTGTAATATTAAAACGGATCTTAAAAAATAATTGTGGGAGAGTGTAAATCAAATAAATCTGGCTCACGATAGATTTTCTGAAAACGGCAATGAATTTAAAGTAATAGGCGACAATTGTGTAAGTACCCGAATGACTGGTAGCTTCCCAAGAAAGACTATACTCCACGAAGTTTTTATATTTAATTATTACTGTTGTTATTGGATTTCACAAAGTTATAGCTCTACAATATTTTTATAGTGACGGTATTAAGTATATATATACATATGTGTGTGTTTCATATTGCTACTGTTCCATAGTGTTCAATAACAAAATTTTACCATGGACACAACACCTTCGCGTCCCATATTACTAATATACTGTTTCCATTTCACGTGTCCCAAATCCATGCTAAAATCTCTGGGCTACTTCAAAAGTCATGGCAACTAATTTTGGGGGGCAAACACGTTACAGTGAAGAAAGTTCAAAATATACTTATGAAAGGGTACGACATACCCCTCCGATTGGCTTAGTCAGATCAGGTAGATGTGAAGGGGCGTAGGTATATTAGGCAAGAAAATTGAACATTACGGAATGACTGTTTTTTTTTTCATTCTTTTAATCCTCGAAAAATTCAATTGTGATTAAGAAATAAAAAATTCAATGTTTCATACTTCATCGATGGAAATTATCCGATTCAAGAAATTGTCTCCTTCCATTTCATATCGTTCGAGGTTCACGCCTCTTGCTTCATAACGTGTCCACCTTTGAACCTCGTTTAATTCATGTGACACCCACTTCGCTGCAATCTTGCGCATGTGTATGTCTTTTCGTAAAATTCGATGCACAGTTGCCTGGTCAATCCCTGTATGTCTCTCTAACTCCTTCAGAGACCAGCGCCTATCTTTCTCCATGCACTGGGCGATCATCGGTACGGTACATCGGTAAGAACGGACACAAGGCGTCCACTACGTTGCAAGTCGGCACTTGCTTCTCTTCCACGTCGGAATGCTTCCATCGACCTTGCAACCAGAGCTTCCACAAGCTCTGAGTGACATTCAGTCGCATTTCTGCCGCGAAGCACTGCTATTTTCACGTAACAACGCTGTTCCAGCCGGCTAACGTTCATTCTCGACGAAGGTTATGACCACACCGACTTCGCGCTGGACCCGCTTCATTTGCCTTAGACATCATCTAGCGGCATCATTAGAAATCAGACGTTGTTGTCTCTCAGCGGCAAATTTGGAAATTCCGGTCGAAGCTTTCGAAATTTCGGAAAAATTATGTTGCCATGACTTTTGAAGTAACCCACGGATTTTTCCTTTATAATTGGGTATTCTGAAGTGAAGTGTGCGTCGATTTTTGTGAAATGTAGCTGAATAAATCCGCAATTTTTACCAGACCAAATTTAAACTGTCCTGTGGGCATGATTACTATATAACGACACTTATTTAATTTTAAAGGAAAGAAAACATATGAGCATCAAGCCAAATGCTCAATTTCTGTACCAATGACACCGATATTGAGTGCTCTTTGCTAATCTTAATGTGTTGAAAAGCTGGACACAGACTGAGGGTGTTTGGGAACAGGGCGCTGAGGACAATATTTGGATAAAAGAGAGATGAAGTGACAGGAGGTTGGAGAGGAGCTTCATAACTTGTACTTTTCTCCAAGGGTAATTAGAATGATCAAGTCGAGGAGGATGAGATTGACAGGGCATGTAGCACGAATGGGGACGAAGAGTAAATACATATAGGATATTAGTGGGAAAGCCAGAAGGAAAGAACCACTAGGAGGAACAAGACATAGGCGTATGGGTAATATTAAAATGGATTTTAGAGAGATAGAATGGGATGGTATGGGTTGGATTGTTCTGGGTCAGGATAGGGACCAGTGAAGGGCTCTTGTTAACACGGCAATGAACCTTCTGTTTCCGTAAAATGCTGGGAAGTTCTTGAGTAGCTGCAGAATTGGCGGCTTCTCAAGAAGGGCTCAGCTCCAGGAGTGAGTGAGTGAGAAGAGCTGGGATGTGAACAACAGCTGAATCACCGACACCATAAAGTTTTATGGTGTTGTCTGCTCTATAGCCGATGTGTTCACGTGAGTTTATGTACAAGTATAACGTCCAACCGATTAGTGTTGTGTACCTTGTAAGTGGTCTGGGGTTTGGGCCATGCCCTTTGTTCCAGGAGGTGCGATTCAAAGTTCACGACCCGAAGGTCCATTCGAAGGGCGGCACTCTGGAGAACACGATCAATGGGCGTGCTGACGAAGAGGCCGCTGCCCCTGCACCCCAGCACCTCATCCACCCGGGCAAAGACATCAACAAGTTGTACGGAATCACACCCAGTGACATCGACAAGTATTCCCGCATCGTGTTTCCTGTCTGCTTCATCTGCTTCAACCTCATGTACTGGATCATCTACCTGCACATCAGTGACGTCGTGGCAGACGACCTCGTGCTTCTGGACGAGGAGAAATAGAAACGTGTAGACCCACTAGCAGCACGACTTATCAGAAGACTCACGCTGTATAAACTTAAATCCATAAAGAGGTTTAAACATGTCAGGTTACCACATTATAAATATGTGCTGTATTCTAAAACAACATTCCCCTTACATTTAGACATCCGAAATTGTGGTGCTGTTTGTTCAGACATGCACAGAGTGAGGTGAAGTGTTCTCCGACAGGACTGTGCTAATGTGACTAGGGTATGAACCAAATACAATGGACAATGTATTCTTCTATTCGACTCAGAGAAAACAAGATTAGTAGACTGGACGTGAAACATAATTCGGACGTAATGTGAAGTAAAAGAGTCATGTGTTGGCTTGCGAAACAATCGACTGTTTCCATACAGAACGTCTTTTGAGCCGGTCCGTGTAAGACAGAATGAAGGATTATGAAGCTAGTCGTTGCCAAGATGATGACGTTTCGCACGAGATATATTTATTTATTTTGTAATGAGCCAACATCAATATTCAACATAACGTAGAAATGAAACTATAGATTGTTCGCCTTCCTACCCGTATCCTCGTTAAGTAACACATGGAGTAGACAAATTTTCGTAAATCTATACAAGACAAAATATTCATTCTCACACCAAAATATTGAAAAAAAAGCGATAAGATCGGCTTTGTTAACAAATACGCGTAGAAAATTCTTTAGTGTCTTGAGAGGTCAATGAAGAAGGTCTTTGTGTGCCATTGCAAGGAAGTGGTTACATTTTGTTAGATCTGCTGGAAAGATCGCCAATATAATTTATTCACCCTTCCCAGATATATTTTTAAAAAGGGATAATATATTGTTACATATATAGATTTCGACCCTCTATTTTTATTTTTATGGATAAATACAATACGTGTACATGGTTGTCTCTAATTTGTTGCTCCAAAATAATACGACTTTATATTGGACATGATCCACTAATTTCTAGTTGTATTGTTCCCTTCTAAGTATAGTCTATGATAGTGTTATGTTTGGATGGAGGCGGGTTGTCGAGTTCTCTTGTTACATGTTCCGAGATCACAGGAAGATGGCAGATGCTGGGGTATTCACCCTACAGCACCTCTCGTATTACTCCATGTGATTAGCTTCCCTTCCCCCTCCCTCAAACATTATGTACAGATAATTTTATACAAAAAGCAGAAGAATATATTTAAAAAAAACTACGTGAGTCATATAAAGAGGATGAATAAAATATATCCAACATATTACACAATAGCCTATAAGGTAAATCAAACATTTATTAACTACTAGTTCTAAAATCTTGCCTGACTCCTGTATAAATAAGCATGAGACAGTGTTTTTCATTGATAGTATGCGTGGGTGCGTGCGTGATACGCTGAGTTCAAACATAAAAGTAAAACCTCGTTTAAGTAAGAAACACATGAAAAGTTCGGGCATACGTGGTGGTTTCTCGACACAGCTTTATTTTCCCATCTATACAATTAATTTTCTCTAGTTGTTTCACAATTGCACATCACGAATTGCTCCTTCTCCTGTCGGTGATGTTGTTAGTGTGGAGCTGAATCTCAAATCGAGATCAAATTTGCAATATACAGGAAATTACGATCACTATTACTACTACGCTTAGTAACATTTTTGAAATACTTAAAGCATGCAGCTCTTTAAAAATATATCTACAATTTAACCATCACTACAAACACATTCCAATGCACAAGATACGGAAGGGAAGAGTCTATATGACCGCCTCAACGCGGCATTCAAGTGAATCGAGTGTTTTGACAGCGTCATTTTAGGCTGACGTCTGTCACAAAACTGCCATTTTGTAATAAAATTAAGAGGAACTAGAAAGAAGCGGCTGCAATTCAGTGAAGTTAGTGTTATGAAATTTAAACGCCTAGTTATAAAAGACAAATGAAAGATACTTTTTATGTTCGCCCTCATTTCGGATATTTAAGTTACTTATTCAGCGTGTTTGTTCCCAGTGCCACTTCGGTTCGACAGCAGCATCAGCAGTTTCTGCAAGTTCGAAGTGCAAAACCACCGTGAGAAACGTGACAGTGACTATATTTTACTTAATTTTCTGTTCCTTTTCGAAGGAACTAATTTTATATAATACCAAGGCACCATTGACGTACATTCCATACACCATCAAGCAGCAAAAGATAAGGACAAACTAAACCAACATATTAATTATTAATTTTTATCTAGAGTACTTAGTCCTGTTTCATTAATTGCATATAACATGTAATTGTATTTAAAAATAGGGGTTTGGCCTCGCGGAGTGATACAACAAGAGCCACTCTGTTGTACCGAAGCTGCTGCGTCACTAGAATACAACAAAACGCCTGTCTGTAAATACGTTATGTATTCTATTCAAATGAAGGGAACAGAGTTTTGAAAATTGTTCATTTTTTTCAGATTAGTGTATCACAGACTTGTAGCATCATGTCTACATTATTAATATTGTTTAGGCCACGTTTCATATAGGGATGTAATAGCTGATAGCTGCCGCCATACTAATGATGAAAGATCTTAACCTTGAAGTATAAAATTTCTAAAATGAATATAGGTCATCACTGCTCTAAAACAAGTCACAATTCCTTACTGTACACCAAGCTTAAGGTCCTTCTCAGTATACACGTTATATATGTGACAAAGAAATAAAATGGTGTTCCATTTTTGTATAGTACGGGACAACCACAGTCTTTTGTGGCGACTGTTGCACATCTCGTATGCGCTAGTATCACTGGACGTAACATGGCGACGTCCTCTGACACAGCGTTGTACACTACAACGAGACTGTTTGTTAAAACGACGTTTTCCACGGTGAAAAGTCATAGTCATATTGCTCAACAAACAAACCAAAAATATATTGTAAAATATACTATTAAAATACATACATTTTACATGGCAGGTGACTCACCTGCTAGTAGGTTCAAGAGTGGTTTGTGGCTCTAAGCAATATCTGGGCTGCCTGGTCCATCCCACCTTCACCCCAACCCCCACCACTACCGCACCGTCTCAATCACTCGCTCTCCACCTGAAATAAAATTCTAGAGTACATTTTTACCAGCACATCTCACTGACCCAGTCATTAGCCCGACAGATGTCCTTATTAAGCCGCCGCTGATGAGTGGTCAACACATTACATGCACCATCACACACACACAGAATCCACTGTTCCTCACTAGTGAATTTTTGATGAGATCAAGCCCCAGCAAGATCTAAAATGATCATGCCAATATCTGCAGATATATATATATATAGACTATATATTAATTCTAAAGGACTAAGAGATGAAAGCAGTGCTCCCGTGTTTAACGAAAGGGAAAGAAAATTGTTATGCTCTGGAAAGCTTTTAGATCCAATTTCTTGTAGACATCAGTGCTTCTATGTGAAGAAAACAAAATATTGTGTTTATATGAAATAAAAATGAAAACATTGTAAAGTAAAACTGCAGTATATTTTGTGGGGAACGAGCTCACTACTGAATATTCTAAAGAAGAAGAGGAAGTTAGTAGAAACTTCATATAAATATTTGTTTGTCGTTTTTATTTCAATAAAAGCTAATAAGAATCTGTCGATAGAGTTTTATTGACTGGATTACTATCTTAAATACCTCTCATTTCAGCTCAAAAGCAACATGTGTGGCCAGAAACAGATGTTTTCAAGCAAAGAAAATGTTCTTTGAAAATTTTTTATTAAATAGATGGCTATATTATTGTAAACCTCTGTAATATTTGAGCCACACTGGGACACTGTACAATGTCTTCACAAAGGAACTCATATTGGCATATAACACAGAAATAATTCCTGGCTGCTTTGTTCTTAGTTTGCTTAAGCTGTTCTTAATACATAGGACATTAAGATTCCCGTAACATTTTACAATCGCTTGTAAATCGAGAGTAACAATTGTATATGTTTACTTTGAATGATTTCTTGGTACTGTCACGTGTCCTGGGTTCCTTGACAAACAATTGTGGATTCCGGATTAGACGAAGCTGTTTATTGGACAACTCGTTTACAGTTATAACCACAGTCACTCTGAAATCACGTTTTCCGGACGATGCGACCTGACTCACATTTCGTCTTCTGGTTCTTGGCTGAGCTGGTTTCTCAGCTCTGCTCCCTTCGCCACTGATCTGATCTACTCTCTGGTCTTCTCTGACCGTCGGACGGTATTCGTAGCAGCGGGAACTGCAGTAACCCTGACTTTCATTCCCATGTTAACGTCTGCCAAGGTACGCGTTGTAGCGTTTACATGTTTACAATTATCACCTAGACAACGATGTATTCACTGTTCCTTCTTGTATGGGGAACATAACTACTGAGCCGTTGTCTAGCAATAGACTTCTCTTTTGTGCTTGTCTGACTGCAAACTTCCGGCTTTCAAGCAGTGTTTACCGAGTGGTGCTCAGCAATGGTCTATTCCAGCTTGTTGTCCGGCCACGTGTTTTATCAAGCCGTTGTCTAGCAATGGACTCCCGCTCAGATATTCTGACTTTTAGGCAGCACGCCACAGTATGTTTCCTTCTTCAGCCATTCTTTATTGACGACTAATTTCCCCATAATTTAAAGAAAGGTTCACACATACAAAAGTTTGGCAGTTGCGGAATGGTACCTCGGATTCCCTCCTTTACAATCAGCCTATACTTGTTTCGCTGTTACACTTAGCCTACTCTTCCCTTATTCCATTAAACATTGCATGTGTCATCCTATACTGGACTGTATTTTCCAGCTACGGATATGAAGAGAAGGGAATACTTGCGAAGGGCCACTTGGCTCCCCTGGCTGCCATTCTACACACCTGAAGGTAAAGTTGTCCCTGGGCTTAACTAATTAAGCACTATGCCATGAAGGCGTATGGGGAGTGGATGTATAGATCCACATCTACATATCTGAATGGTGTGTTATTTCAGAATTAATTTTGAATTTCAGCAGTCCGGTGGGTATAATTTTTGGAAGCTGAAGACGAATTATGAAAGAAGGGTATGAGTTTGTTTCATTATTTTCTTACATTTTCCGCCCTATTACCGAGAGCTCTTCTAACGCCCCGGGCCTATTATTTTTCATCCATTCATAGTTTCTTTGTAGACACTTTTTAGACACTTGGATGAAGAAAGTTTTGTTGAGGAAATGGAAAAGACACGAAAGGAAAGAGTTGAGGGTTACTTGATAAAAATATCCCAGAACTCTCATGCAGGAAAGCAGGATAACCATGGAAAACCCTACTCAGGATAATCGGTGTCTCAGCTGAGATTCGAGCCAGCTACCTCTCTAGTATAGAAGTTCTACCAAACGAGCCAACTTGCTGGACGGGGAGAACCACCACTTCTGAACTAGAAGAGGACGAGAACAACTGCTAATATGTGAGGCTCCAAAGTTACTGTCTTGACAACAGCCACTTTTGCGTAATGTTGTTGATTTCAGAGTTGGTTCTTTGTTTTAAGAGACATCAGAAGAGTTCATATACTGTGTCTGTGCACTCAATGCATTAGTACAATATGTTCACTTTATTTCTCTTTATTTTTTTTTTTTTTGCGTGCGGCTGCAGTATAAGAAGCATATTTGAAGATGGTGTGATTGTTTCTATTGGAAACCATCGTGGTTAACTCATTTCACTTTGTTTTCCTTGCTTCAGGTAGGCTTGAAAAGACTACATGTACGCATGTGCGCCGGGCGCCATATTTGTGCCTCGATCGTTCTTTCACTTGAATCTTAAACCTGTCAAGCCTTTTTGCTTACTTTATTACGACTAAAAGTCTCATTTCTGGACTCTAAACGTGCATGAGTCTTTAAGTACTTCACGTACATCATGTGACAGGATCCCAAAATACCATAACTCTTTTGGTTTATTATGAAATTCAATAAAATTTCTAAGAAATTTTCCTACATAGAATTTCAGTTATAGCGCCTGAGAACCAATTCATTTCCTACACGATACTGTATAATTATTCAGGAAAAGAAAATATAATTAACTACTAACATAACAATCCAAAATCCTACAGGGGTGGTCTATACTACTAATCCTTTCCCTGCTCATAATAAAAATAAATAAATAAAATTATTTTGTAACAATCCGTGGAGACCCATAGGGTTGTGAGACATCGAGGATCCAACATTTTTCTAGATTAGAAGGCTTAGATCAATTGAAAAATCCAATGACCTCAACCGGAATCGAACCCACAACTTTCTGGCCTGTAGCATAATGCCGCAACCAACTATGCTACTGTATGCCCCTATTTCTCAGCACGTATGCGATATAAACCTACTCTTAACCTTGTTCAGGACGTCGGAAATGTTAGGTACCAGCAGTTTAAAATGCCAGTTTCATTTTATAGATTTTTATTTCCTATTGTTATTAAGTTTTGTGTGTGTGTGTGTGTGTGTTATGTAATGGGCATGTCCAATGCAACATCAGACTTCTTAGGGGTCAGGACCCTTTGCTTTATTTGCTGAGGAGCACACGAATTCATTTAGTATCGGATGAATTAAATGGAAACTAATATTCCAAACACTCTTCTTCACCACCAATATATTCTACCTCCTTTACTCTATAAAAACCTCCAACCATGATTTCAATTCGACAAAACATTTAAAAGAAAACATTAGTAGTGTTTTCCGACCATTTACTTCTAAATTATATTTTCAACCACAAAAATCTCTCCCTCTCTTAAATAATATTCTGTCATTTTAATTACAATAGATTGCTTGAATTTAATTTCACTGTACCGTCATGCTGTTAATATTTCAAAATCAAAGTTGTATTCAGCTACTGTATAATAACCACTTCTAAAATTCCCTAAGCGTTCGTCTTCCTAAAGATATTTTTCTTAATTTTATTCAAAATCTAACAATATCTTAATTCCGTTAGTCAAACAACAAGTATTCTTAAAAAACAGAAAATTGCGGAAAATAAAGTTTAAGTCGTCTAAAACACTTTTAAGCTGTGGAACACGCTCCGTAGAGAAATTCGCAAGAACAGTGACTCTTTCTTTTTCATTCGCTTAGTGAGGGGTGGAGTCCAACTGGGTCCACTCGGCACGGCGGCCACTGATTGGCCTATTGTAGCCCGTCCCGAGTGATTATGATAGAGAATTTGGTAGAATGAAAATTGGCAGGGGAAACTGAAGTACTCGGAGGAAACCCGCCCCAGCGCCACTTGATCCACCACAAATCCCACTTGACCAGACCCCGGATCGAACACGGGCCGCCGCGGTGGGAAGCCAGCGACGCCAGCGACTAACCGCTTGAGCTATGGCGCGGCCCACAGCGACTGTTAGTTCTAGATATCGTCACCAGGATTGTGTGCTGGCAGCAGTTTTCAATGAGCGCTACTGATCTGGCAGTAACATGTCTGCATGTACTGCCATCTGCTAAATATTTTTGCAACTATGTCCAGTAACCAATGGCCATTTGAGGACACGTGCGTGTACAGGTTCGAATATGCTCTCTCCCCCACTAAAGGTGTGAGACACCAAAAACACCAATTTTGTAAACTGAAGTTATCATACAAGACTTTGTTGATAGGGATTTCTACAGTTCTGTTATCTATACAACATTAATGTGAAACTTTGCAATGAAATCTCCCCGGATTAAGGCCTTCATCCAATTATCGTGTTCCGAACTGAGATCTAGAGTGAAATACAATGTATTCAATGTATTTAACGAACTAATTAATTTCTTAACTCCACTGAGAAGAGTACTGCTTTAGATGCGAACAGTAGCTCAGATTTTCCACCTGTTTTCCACATTCTTTAAAGCCTAAAAGAATGCAATCCACACTTCCACACCCTACTTCTTTAAGATCTGTTCAAGGATTACTATCCCATCTGTTCCCAGGTCTCTAAACTGGTTTCTTACCTCTAGGTCTCATGATTACAATTGTGTATTTCTCATGTAGTTCCATGTGTGCTATATGTCCTGCCCATCTAATCCTTCGTTTCTTAGGTCGCGCCAAAATTTTCGCCCAAGTTCGAGACTTTGTATTTTTACGTCACTTAGGCCTATGTGACATGTCAGCTTACAGAAAAGCGTACTAGTGCAATGCCCGTTGAAATTTCTTCGAAGGCAAGCATGGAAGTGAGACCGCAGTAGATCACATACTGAGGGAGCAGTAATTGCGGAGGTCAGCCTTCTCTGCAACTACAAACACAGCAAGGGGAGTACACTCAATTATCATTAAAGTCAGGTGCGCCAGGATAGCTCAGTCGGCATAGGGATGGGCTACTCTCTCAACAACCGAGGCTCGATTTCCAGGAGGGACGGAAGATTTTTCTCTGCTCTACAGCGTACAGATCTGATCTGGAGTCCACCCAGCCTACTATGAATTGGGTGCGTGGGCTCTTTCACCGGGGGTAAAGCGGTAGGGGCTTGAAGCTGAAAACTCGCCCCGTGTCGAGTTCAAGAAGATTAGAGCTACACATCCACACCTCACCCCCCAATACTTCTTAACGGAGATGTCCTTAGTTTATAAAAAACAGGGACAAATTTCTCTCTTCTTCTTCTTTTTCATTGGCGCTACAGTCCTCATTTGGACCTAGGCCTACCTCCATGAAACTCTCCGTTCGGTTTTACTAGAT